GATGCCAGTGTGATAAGGAGCGGACGGAAGCTCTCGTTTCCCTTAGCACTGCAGACAGCCCTTGTATCACTTACAGCTCCGCAGTGTCAGCGTCCCGAGTGCCCTGGAGAGTCCTGAAGGGAGCTGCATGAGAAAGAGCTGGGAGCTGCCTTGTTGGAAGCCTCTGCCACTTGTCTCAGGAGCTATGTTGAGCTCAGGCCCTCGGCCCTCGTGTGAACTGCCCTGTCAAGACCATGGACCTTTCAGATCCCAGCTTGACTTTCTGGCTTGATCTTGACCTGCTCATCACTACGGTGTTGGCTGGTTACCTCTAGACTGTGACTGGCCCTTTTCCTGTTACTGAACCTGCCCTGCTTTTCTTACTCAGGAGCTCTTCACCGGACAGGATAGAGCAACAACACCACGTCACACAGATGTGGGTGATGGCAGCCCCCTGAGAGTGTCATCGTGGGGCAGGGGGAGGAAGAGAGAACAAGGAACATTAATACTTCATCCATGGAATCTAAAGGAGAAAAAAAAAACACACGCGTGTTTAAATAAACTTTATTTCAAATATCATAGAAAATCACCAATACCATAAAATAAGGCTTTATAAAATAAAGGATACCAAGAAAAGACACATAGAAATTCATTACAAATGTACTAGCACCGAAGAAAAAAGACACATAGAAAGTCATTATAAATGTGCCAGCACTGAGAAGTACTGTTCTCTCATCACATTAGACACCTCATGGTTACACCCTTGTGAACTGGTGTCTGCTAACTGCAGTCGTAGTAATTTCACTTGCAAGATTGGTCTTTCTTATTATGGTTAATTCCTGCACTCCTTACTCAGGCAAACTCTTCAAATTATTCTGATGATCCAAGATCTGATCCTAAGAAAGAAATGGAAGACTGGCCTTGGTTCGTAAGTACTTCAGTTGCTCTGTTTACAGGCAGCTGGAGACCTTGATTCTCTTTTTACACTGGTTCTAGTCTCAAGTCTAATAATATAGTTAGTATAATTAATTAAAAAGAGAGGGTTTTTTTTTTTCAATTTACTGATTTCTGCTGATCAGGCAAATGCAAAAATTTGTAACATCACACAGAATCATAGAATCTCTATGGATGGAAAAGACCTTCGAGATCATCGAGCCCAACCATAAACCCATCCCCACCTTGCCTGTTAAACCATGTCCCTAAGTGCCTCATCTACACGTTTCCTGAGCACTGCCAGGGGCAGTGACTCCACCACTTCCCTGAGCAGCCTGTTCCAGTGCTTGACCACT